TCATTTACTTACTGGATGTACAAAGTTTCCGAATATTTATGCCTAGGCTGAGTAATCAGGCTACCCATGAGGTACACAACGATCTTTTTATCGTCCTCATTATAAACTTATGCTTTTCAGACAAAACAACCGTCTAAAACTACAGAATCGACAATAAATGTTATAAACTAATTACTTTATTGTCGGCTATTATAAAGGTGCATTCTAATGGGATCGAAAACCCCAAATAATACTCAGACTGAGCCACTTTGGCATGGCAGTTTAGACAGTTATAAATGTAAAGCTGAATTTACAACGGACATTGCTTACTTAGTTGTTGGCTTCAAGCCTCATTAACAAGTTGAAACTAATAGGGTAAGTCAGTGGGGGTTCCACTTTTGAACAAAGCATTTCGATTTGAGTTTGCCACTAACCGGAACAGTGGTGTGTAAACTCAACTTGGGTGGCAGTTCTGCTCTCCAACCACATTGCCATTTTTTTATAAAAATTATTCCAACTCAATTTCGATAGTTACACCTAGCAGGCAGTGGACTTGTCAAATTCGATCCATGACAGTCGCGAAACATGCATGACACTACACATTCCGTCCAGAAAGTTGTCAAACCGATTTTGGCAGTCACTAGACACTGTCACTTCAGAGTTGCAACAAGAAGAGATCCTTCACTTCTATCTACCCCAAGTGGGTCTTGGAATGCAGTAAAATATGTTGTCTTACAAAAGTAATTTGTTTTGGTTATCGGAAGCCTAAAGTCGATGCTTGAGTTTCAGGTGGCGACAATGTAGCCAGATCCTCGTAGAACCACCTAAACAGATTTTGTTTGAAATCTAAACAACGCTTACTTCTAGATCCATCAGAAGTCCATTTGTTTGGTTTCGCGCACACTCATATGCTTACAGCATCATCACTTCCATGCTGTGCTTTTGGCAGCAATGCTACTCAAGGCTACGCAATGCGGAAACAGTACTTTAATTTGCCTTTTTTAAATTCAAACTCCTGGTCTCACTGCTTATCGTTTACAAAAACTCCATCAATGGCTAACTTCTTCGTTAGTAAAGGCGAAATTACCATTAATTCATAAACATTTAAATTATAACTACTTGTAAAATAGGACATTTGATATGATTTTTGGATGTAATGATACTCAGAGGTCAAAGACATCACTGATGTGGAGCCTATTTCAAACGCTTTCCTACAAAGTATTAAAGACATTATTTTCCCTTAGTCATCCAGTACTTCAACAGCATTAATGATGGGAAATTTGTTGTCGTTTTTAAGAATGCTTTCTGCTAACCGACCTCATGATAGCGCCCTGAGTTGTCTAAGACGCACGACAGTCCCCAAAAAGAAGGCGCTTATTTTGTTGAAAAGGGTATTAACACGGCTGTTAGATCCAAATGAGACTATTGTAGCATGGTTAAGCAATAATAAGTGATATCATTCATTCGAAATCCTTCAGACAGGGCCTGTGTTGCTACGCTTTGGTTATCGCAAACACCAATCCAGAGGACAACGAACTGTCTCTAAATCGGACACTCAAACCCATCAAGGCGTCCCCTCACTCACCAACATCGGGAGAGCTCATGTGAGCTAGGCAACACAGTCATACCTCTAGTACACGCAGAGCCACGGTGATATGATCCTTTCTGTGTGAACCACCCGTCTGTGACAGCTCCTGTGCATGTGTTACCATGGCAAATTTGATGAAAGGGGGAAATAGGATTTTGGGAACATTCGAGCATAAGGGTGTCCTTTATACATCTGATGAACTATCAGTTTCTCAGGTTCCATTGAGATTGATAGTTTCAAGGGCTGTTGTACTAACGCCTTTAACAGTAGTGCTAAAGAGAACTGCACTTACCACTTGTTTTAGAAACTTGGTACATTTGAAGAATCTCATCGCCTTCACAAATATGCAATTCCATAAAACGATGTTTTTTTTCTTTTGATTCAAAAGCAATCATGGTAT